GTTTATGCACTCCCACAAAAGGTTTTTCATGGGGCAGGTTGGCCCTCAGGCTCCATTAGATGTTGGTTCTCCTTCTTTCTTTTTTTCTTGCAACACATGCAAAAATTCTTATTTGGCAACAAGCTATAGATCATATTAAGCAGCATGAAAAGCAGTTGGAGTGGGCAGGTGTGGTCATGAGAAACAGGCCTGCTTAAACACTAACTGTGCTTATAACTAAAGTAGAGAGGATCCATTCAGCTTTCTGAATGCTTGTTTAAAGGTGCAAACCAACTACTTCATATTTCATAGTGTTATCTATAATTAATTAGTTATGCAACATGATCATGTCTTGAGTCTCATTTGCACTGTGATTACCACTGGAAATGGGTGTTTCCACAGCATGTGAACACAGCATAATTGTTAGTTCTCAAAACAATAATAATGCAGTTGGGAACTGGGATTTTAGTTATGTATCAAAGGCAGGCTATAATTCTCAGCAGGCAGAGAACTAAAGCCAGGGCAGGTTAAAAGATACTCTAGCAGCTTGTTCTCAGACAATGAGAACATTCAGTCCGACTCTGAGATTTAAGTACTGATACAAGAAAAAAGGAAGGGATTGCAAAGTTTAGAAGTTAAGGAAGAGCAACAAGGAACCACCAGGGCAGTACTTTATAGATCTGTTCAGCTAGAAAGGGAGACGTCTCCAGTTATCTACGGATCACAGGACTGAGGTGTTTTTAGGGGACTTTAGAAGTGGATCGGGTCAATGTACCTTAACCAGTCCAGTAAGCCACAGACAAATTCCCCCTCTAAGCTGCAGCAAGGTGCTGAAGAGACATTCATTATAATGGTTCACTGACACATAAGCCTCTGCTGATAAAGACCACGTAACTGTAGTTTTGTGGAGTTCATGCGTATAGTCATTTCAGGGAGTGTGGACTTCAAAAAGTCAGTCACATTTTGTTATACAATCCTCAAAATATACTCCGATTTGTGGTTTGGCTGACAGCAGTACAATACCTTATGATTTGAAGGTATATGCTTTTGTTGTACTTTGTTGTAACACATTATTTCAAATTGTACCAAGGAAGCACAAAAGCCATGACAGACAAATAGATGTAAGATGTAGCTGCTTATTCAATATGCAGTAATATCGCTTGGGAAGCAAACAGCACAGCTTATTTTAAGACACAGGATCAAGTGTTTTAAAATAAACCTTTTTTCTGATTCTTTTATTCTCTATTATATATTCCAGGGACAAAGAAATATCTCACTGCTGATGGGTAGAAAGATTCTGCTTTCATAATCTCTCATTTTAATCTACTTGAGAGCATGAACATGAATCTTTAAATGAATTTACTGTAAAACATGAAATTCAGACAGCTGGAGTTACAAGGTTTTCACATGATAGCAGCAGTTTGATATTATGGAGTTTATTATCCGGACTGGAATGTAGATCGGGTTCAGTAATTGCAGCCTATTGCACTTACACTCTGGATAAGAGCATCAGCTAAATACATAATTTCTAACTGTCTCTTAGCAAACTAAATATCACAGCCAAACTCATTTTCAGCCATGTTAACTTCCTCAGGAAATCTTATCTGAGAGAGATATTTTTGTCTGTGGAGGAGGCCTCCGGGCTACATAGCCTCATTATTTAGTTTGGCTTCCTGACTACATTTCCCCTCTTATCCTCAACAGCACTATGCTGGATCTTGGCCTCGGACAGGAGCATAAAAACATCCGCCTATTTAAACAAACTGTTAACACATAGATGGGCTATCTCACTGGGACAGACTCGGAGTCTGTGGGCTCAGCAGTGTGCTTGAAGCCGGGGATATTGGCAGTCATCTATCTGCATAAACAAACAGAAAACCACTTTCTGCAGTCATGAAGGAAAACAAGAATAGGATGGCAGGGTAAACCCACCTGAAGGCAGGATACCAGCAACTTGTTTGTGAAACACTTTTGGTGGCACCAGGGCTCACCGGTGTGTACAAGTCACATACGTTACCCTTCAATAATGTCCAAATGCTGTTTGACCGATTCCTTACAATTCATCCCCCATTATACTGCTCCAACTTGTCTGTTTCAATGTTTTGCTTCAACAGGCGAATTGCACAGAACACTAAGATTCCTAAACAAATACAAAACTCCCAAGTACACTACAAACACATTTTCACTCCCAACTCATCAAATATTACTGACAGTGGCCCTCAGCTTAGATATATGATGCTGTAGGTGCCCCTCTTAAGTCATTTGAGGACAGGTAGGGCCCCGCGGTCAATTTAGCAAGAATAAATATGCATTACATTTGGTTAAATGAATGGTTAACATTGTGAAAAGGTAGCAGTTTTGTTAAGGCACAAAAACTACTTGGTTAGGGTTAGGAAATGATTGTAAGTTAGTTTCGAACCTGAAATAATATAAGTACATGAATAAAATACCTAATAGAATACTTAAAATAAATAATTTACTTCGGTTTCACAGCAGTATCCTGGGATGAATTGTTTTTTAAACTACGTCACCTGACTTTGACGGCGGCTGTGTCCAGAAATGATGCTACAGGGGTGCCTACAGTGTCATATTTAAGGTGGACAGCCCCACAAGCTGCAGTATTTGACAACTTGGGAGTGAGACCGGGTTGCCAGTACAGTCTATGCATCAGCCAATCTGTCAAAGGCTACTGTCGTCTGTCCTCACCTCTTTATCAGCTGCTCTGCAGTGTCACTGCTGTGCCAATAGTTTTGCTGAATTGTCAGAATTGGTAAAAAATTAAACGGTGTACTATCACCATCAAGCAAATTCATTTGCAAATAGAATAATATTACTCACTGAGAATATAAAAAATAATAAAAACAATAAAACAAATATAATGTTAAACATCACTACTAATGCAGAAGCCAAACTACAAAATACCAACTGAAATACAGTAAGCTGAAATCATTAAAAAGTCACTTTAGGCAGAGAGAGGAAGTTAGTCCCCACCAGCCACAATGTGAGAAGCATCATTACTGACTACAAAACACCTGACTTCCCTGAAGGACAACGGGAGCAATGTCAAAAGCTTATATTTCAAAAACCATTAAAAATCACATGAATGTTAAAAAATATAATTACATACACAATTTATAACATGACCAGGGCAATAAAGATTCAAATATGGACAGCTCTGAATGACTAACCCTTCTCACGGCAGCCTTTAGGAGAGCTCACAAAAGAAGTGAGTATTTGACAAAAATTACTTTATGCAGTGCTGAACAGTGAGCTGTTGATGATACACAGATAGGGTGACTGAAGTGGTGACAACCTCAGCACTGTGATCCCTGCTGACATAAGAATAAGTTAAGTCACATCTGACATGGGCCCCGAAGTGAATGTAGGTAGATGTAGATGTAGGTATATATTTGAAGAAAAGCCTGTCCTGCCTCTCGTTTAAATACAGTGGTGGAAATAATAGTGCTGACCAATCACAAAAGTGGAATCAGATGCTGCCTAAGCAGCTGATCGGCCAGCACAGCAGACCTCTCTTTCATTTGTCAATTTCTGACAATAAATTAAAAACAAAAAAGCTTTGGAAGCACTTACCATTTTGTTCTTCTTGGAGTACGTCTTCTTCAGCAGCCTCTCGTTCATCCTCTCCTGCTCCCGCTGGGCGTGATGAAGGAAGCCGTTCTCCAGGGGATCCACCACTGGCTGGACATTCTCCTCTTCCTCCTCCACCTCCTCGTCTTCCTTCTTCTGCCGCTTCACCTCCTTTTTCTCCTTCCACCGCTCCTTCTTCTCCTGTGTCTTCACAACTCCGGTCTTCTTCTGCAGGGAGAAGAAGAAAGCACATTAGAAATCGAGACACTATGAAATGAAAATGTGTGTGTGAGAGGAAGATAATATATATGGGTCGATGGGTGCATAAATAAAACACTTGTAACACACTTGTTATTAAAAGTCAATGATGACAGAATCAAGGCAGTGTCAGGGGATGTCATACAACCTGTTACACCACAGGAATAATGCAGTGACACAGACACTACTCAATGTCACACTGACAAGGGAGATTTACTGCCTTGAGTGTCTCAAGGATTTCCTTAAAACCCTTGAAACACACCAGGTGATGACAAGTCTGTAAAAAAGCGCTTCAAAGTTGCCTTCAAACAAGAACAAAGCAGACAGATATGTAGATGGATGGATAGAGTGGCGGTAGATGAATGTGTAAAAGAATGGAGGGAGGGTGCGCCGCAGCTGGCAAACAGTCAAGCGTGCAGCCCCTTTCACTGCTGGCTTACACAAAGCAAGCAAACACTCAAGCAGAGAGCGGCGACACTCACTCTCTCTCTCTCTAAAGTCATCTTTAATCCTGTCAACAGCAGAACAATGCCTTACTGGAGCCCATAATCACTTTATGGCTCAGATATAATGAGCTTATGATATGAAGTGCTGCTTTAACACACGCTGGAGAAAATACAGTTGCTCTACACTTAGACTATGACCAAGCAATTTCTCCCTTAACTAATTATTCCTTTCATGCTTCGGTTACGGCCTGCATGGAATTGGTGTTTGTTTATTTGAGTTCAAACACAATTTGTTACTGCCTAGGATCTTACTTAGTGTGTTTTCTTTGCTCCCTCCCCCTGCTTACCTCCTGACCATTAAGTCACAGACAAAAATGGCATCAGGCTACTTATACTAGTGACTGGTGTTCGCTTCATTTCAGCTGCTGTGATGCACTGAGCTAATGTTGGCATTTCTAGCCTGTGTAGTGCACAAAAAACAAACTAGCATTTAATGGATTCAAGTACTAAGAGCCCATGTTAGCATACTCAAGTGCCCATAATTCCTGGAGCTGACACACCCTGTGGCCTTATGCAGTGTTCATGTCAGATTGGAGTTAATAGATTCTGACTTGTAACTGCAGTTCAAGTCCCAGTTGTAATAATGAGCCAATAACTTGGTACTAAATAATACGAAAGTGCCCGAAAAAAACAAACCAACACTGATGCCTAACGTCAGCCAAAGTGTGTGATTTAATGTAATTCAACACTAATGGATGGCTGAATGAGAGGCACATTCTAAAGCACTCTCTCTGTTAAAGTAGAAACACGCTATATAAATGCAGTCTATTTATCCTTATATAGTGTTATTCTTGAAATCTGCCATTAGTCATTCACTGTTCAAATAAGGTGTTTTGTTGGCAAACATTTAGTCAGCTATAGAGTTTTACGGCCACCACACGTGATCAACAGCAAGATTGCAAGCACTGGGGTTGTTTTTTTAATCAAGACACAATCTAGCTAGCCACTGTGCTCAAGCACCACCAACGACACGACACGCACAATCTGTTTGTCTGAATTCCCAGTACACCACTACACAACTTGGCATGCCACAAGCTTGGCAGTAAATTATAGCATGGTAGAATGTCAGTCAGACTGACTCGGTTTATGACTTTTCATATACTGATAACATTTGTTATTATTATTCTCTTTCTACTTTGTTAGTGTTTACAATACGACTGGCAGCCACAGTCTAGTTGTCTGAGTTGTCCACCAATGTGAAAGCTCAAAAGTTGGGGATCTTTCCCAATGCTACCTTCCATTCATCTTCCCTTCTCTTATATGAGATGAGCACAGCATTAAAAAGTCACAGAGTTGAGGTCAAATATCAGTTCAGGACATTCCTAACATGATATGGTGAAGAGGCACAGAAATTGACGCACACACAGATCTGCCAGCCTGTGGAAATCACTGCTGCCAGCCAGCCAGCCAGCAGCAGCAGCCAGCCAGCCAGCCTGCTTGTGTGTCCAGTGATTGAATTGTATCCTCCTCCTGGGCTTCTGCTGCCTCATACTCCAGATCTCATTAGGCCCGAGCAGGGCTGGTGACTTGCTGCTGCTTGGTAAAGCCTGTCGGTAGAGATCACTGTGCGTCTGAATGGCACAGGACGACACACCGCTGCTCGAAGCTGCGTCGAGTTCAATGCCGAGGGCTGCTAGTTCACGTTTCAACATCTGTTCACAGCCAGCAGCACCCGGCCCGACTGCAGTCAGCTCAGTGCTCCATATGAATAATCAAATCATTGGCTCCAAGGGTGGGAGGTTAGCAGATGGCTAGCGCATTAGCCCCATAACTGCTAATGAATGACACCTTCCATGACAAAAGGCGTTCATGAGTCAGGGACTGTAAAAAAAACTGGCCATGGAAAGGAAGAAGGTTTCCATTATATAAAAGTCCAGGAAATGTTCAACTAAAATCTAATTGGAGAGGGCAAAGATCCTGAAAACACCCACACAAACACATTCATTATGATGTTGTAGTCCAGGAGTCTTGCATAAATTATTTTGTGCTACACTTAACATGTTTGTAGCTGAATTGTTTCTTTTTTTTTTTACTTGCTGGTACAATTCCCAACCGGAGAAGCTGTAGGAAACACACAGTGTTTCTAGAGTTTTTTTCTCTCTCTAGTTCATGGGAAAAAATACCTTAACACTTTTTAAGACTGCAGGAAGACAGATTTATTCTTTCATTTTAAAAGGAAAAACAGCTTATTCCATGCTGTGCAGTACACTTAACACAGTAGACCCAATCAGAATATATTGATCTACTGTATATAACTGGCCTCGTTTCAAACCACAGCAGAAAGGGACTGAAACATGCAGGCCTCTTAAATTCTTGCAGTGCCTTAAATAACAGTATTTCAGACCCTTTACAGGCCATTGTACGAAGCTGCAACAGTGAATGTTGAGTGTGAGTGAGTGTTGTCAATTCAGCCGTCCACTCCTAGTCGAGAGAAACAATTAGACAAACTTACTCTGGAAATGTTGTAAGTGGGTAACAAAAGGTTGCTAAGGTAACCCAACTCACAGGCCGACACCGATTTGACAGAAGGATTTAATATCATCCCACTGACACCACACATCAGCTCAAAGCAGCTCTTCTCACCTCACAAGGCAACGCATTAATTTCTCATGAGGGACCAGGCGGTATTAGAAGGCCACTTGTCATGCAATTCATTACCTGCAGAGGCATCTTTAAAGAGCTTTTACGAGGACAAAGCAGCTACAGTCTGACAACAAAGGATCCTGAGAATAGATACCAGGGATGTTCCTCAGTTTATGTCGAGCTGAAGCTGCAGTCCATCTGTCAATGTCCATCAATAGACAGCAAGACAGGGAGATGCAATTTGAAATTTCCCATCTCCTTAGTTATTAATAGAAATACGCCTTTGTGAGCAAACCGGCTGTGAGTGGTAAGATCAATTAAGCATCAACTTGCAGAAATGTGTTTTAAGCATTCTAGAGGATGCCTGTATGTTCATCATTAGTCAGGGTAGAAAACACAGTGATACATAAGGACTACACTAGTTATTGGGGAGTTTGACACACTCACCTTTAATTGTTTCTAATATCTGAAAAGATGATTGGCATCATTCTTTGGAAGACAGTGCAATGCAGTGCAAGCTAAGGCCTTTGAATACAGCAAAGATTGGCATTATCTAAAGTAAAGATAACATTTGTAGTCATCCAAA